AATCCTGTCTGTGCACGTCTGGCTGCCCCCAGCTCCCTTCCTGTATCCTGAACTTTGAAGATCACATCAGCTACTTTGCTTAGGGCTCTCTTCCCACTCAGCCCTAACCCAGCTTCTCAAATGTGGCCTGCACTCGAATGCCTAGGGGTGACCCCTACACCTTCTCCATCCTTCTCCCCTCTGCTGTTGGTGTGACAATTCAGAAAACAGGTGCCATTGCAGAGGCAGAGAGGAGAAACTGTGGAGAATGAGAGAGAGGAGGAAAGAAACAGAAGAAGGCAGGCAGTGCCCGACTGGAGTCTTCTGGCTCTTTCCCTAGGAGATGAAGTAGAAGTCACCATTAAATAACCTTCGGGGGACCTGCGGGGCTGAGTTAGTTTGTTAGAGCTGTGGTAACAAAGGATGATAAACTGCGTACCTTAAACAACAGAAATTTATTGTCTCACAGTTCTGGAGGTTGGAAGTCGGAAAACAATGTGTCAGCAGGGTTAGTTTCTTCCAAGGCCTCGCTCCCTGGCTCGCAGATGGCTGTCTTCTCTTGGAGGTGTCTTCATGTCATCTTGCCTCTGTGTGTGTCTAGGACCTAGTCTCCTCTTACAAGGACCCCAGTCATGTTGGATCAGGGCCCACCCCAATGACCTCATTTTAACCTAAAGACCCTATCTCCAAATGATCGTATGCAGAGGTACTAGGGGGTTAGGACTTCATATGAATTCATATGAATTGTGAGGATACACAATTTTGGCCGGAATATGGACCCAGGGTAAAGTTGCAAAGTTTGGGTGTGGGAGGAGATTTTGACATCATTTCAGAGCTGTCTCATTGCAGGCGTCTAGTTCAAGGCAAAAGCCCCATGTAGAAGGTGTTTGTGTTAGGGGGAGGGAGGGTTCCGACTATGCTGAGTTCATGGCAAGCACTTGGCCAATTAGCACTGGCTAATTCTCTTGTAGCAAAGTGGTTTGTGAAGATGTCACTAAAGGATGTTTTTACAGAACTTTAAGTGCCAGAAGTTATGGACGACAATGCTGAGTTTAGCTGGATGCTATTTAAGATATTTGAGGACTAAGGATGTATATAACATGGGAAGAGATGTGAGAAATGCTATTGGTTAGAAATGTCCAAACAGAAGAGAGTATCCTCAAGCTCACTGGTCTTCCCCCCAATTTTTGTGTTGTCACTCATTTAAAATAGTCGCTACAACCTTTATGCAGGGCACACTGCATGCATATCAAATTGATCAAGCAATGCAACTTCTTTTTCTTTTGAGACAGAGCCTCAAGCTGTCCCCCTGGGTAGAGTGCTGTGGCATCTAAACTCACAGCAACCTCAAACTCCTGGGCTCAAGCGAGTCTCTGGCCTCTGCCTCCCAAGTAGCTGGGACCACAGGCACCTGCCACAACGCCCGGCTATTTTTTGGTTGCAGCCATAATTGTTGTTTGGCGGCCCGGGCTGGATTCGAACCCGCCACCTTGGGTGTATGTGGCTGGTGCCTTAGCTGCTTGAGCCACAGGCGCTGAGCCAAGCAATGCAACTTCTATGAATTTATTCCACAAAATAATTCAGTCAGTGACAGAGATGTAAATTGGCTGTCATTAATTATGGTATGATTGATAAAACAAACAGAAACAACCCATGTCCTGAGACACTGGGGACTGGTAAAATTATAGTCTTACTAGGCTGTTGAATCCTATATGGTTACTAAAGGTGATTATGTAGACCATGGATCATAAACTTAAATATTTGTAGTGTGGATTTAGCAATATATATTTTTTTGAGACAAAAAAAGCTGTCACTCTGGGTAGAGTGCTGTGGCATCACAGCTCACAGCAACCTCAAACTCTTGGGCTTAAGCGATTCTCTTGCCTCAGCCTCCCAGGTAGCTGAGACTACAGGTGCCCCCCCACAACACTATTTTGTGGTTGTTATTGTTGTTTGGCAGGCCGGGGCTGGATTCGAACCACCAGCTCAGGTGTATGTGGTTGGCACCCTGGCCGCTTGAGCTACAAGTGCCGAGCCAGTGTGAATTTAAGAATCTTAAGTCTCCTCTGCAGTAACTACCTTACTGGATCACCCCTTTTGGCCAAGAGTATCCCCTAAAACGGAGTTGCTAGCCATGGGAAAGAAGAGCAGACATGCCCCTTCATGCCCCTCTGCAGTAACTACCTTACTGGATCACCCCTTTTGGCCAAGAGTATCCCCTAAAACGGAGTTGCTAGCCATGGGAAAGAAGAGCAGACATGCCCCTTCATGCCCCCCTGCCTTCTTAGAGATGTCCTTTGTGACTCATTCACAGGCCCATGGCTATATAAGATAAACCTGCAGGCCCTCAATATATACAACAATCCACCTGAGTCTGGCCAGTAGTTGGTTTCTGATTGACAAACACTTATCTTAATTCAAGCATTTCTTTCCCCTGACTCCTGGTCTATTACACAAAGCTTAACTCTTGCAGCCAGTTGTCAACTGAAGAATCTTTAAACCCACCTATCACTTGTGGGCCCTGACTTTGAGCCACCTTTTCAGGCCAAACCAACAGAAAACCACGTTTTCCATATCAATTTATGACGTTATCTGTAATTCCTTTTTCTCTGACATGTATAAAACCAAACTATAACCCCACCATAGCTAGTCCACTTGCTCAGGGTTTCTTGGGTGTAGCTCTGGGTTACGGTCCTCAAATTTGGCTCAGAATAAACCTCTTTAAATTATTATTTTTGGCTTCTTTTGCATTGACAGTAGGGACCAAGTAGGTGAGGTAGGTGGCGTGAACAAAGGAGGCAAGCCTGTGTTGGGAGTGGGGAGGGACGGGAACTGTGGATGTTTGGGGGTGAATATTCCAAGTAAACAGGGCAGAGACTCCATGGTTCTAGTTGGTTACTGGCCAGGTGGAGATAGACCCAGTGTTGTCAAGACCTTCCTATTTTTTTTTTTTTTTTTGTCTTTTTGGCTGGGGCTGGGTTTGAACCTGCCACCTCCAGCATATGGGACTGGAACCCTACTCCTTTGAGCTATAGGCACCTCCCAGACCTTCCTATTTTTTAATAGAAACAAGAAGTCTTGATTGTTCTGGGGAATATCATGGTTTATAAAATGTTGGTAACTATCTACAAGAATTCATACACCATCTAGTACAAACAAGACTGAGCTGTGAACTAGATCAGCGTGTGGCCAATGAGTCTGCCATTTCTGATGTGGAATGTTCAGGCTAGACCAGAGCTTCTTTAAGTGCAGTCTTGGAGCAGCAAATTCATCATCACCTGGGAACTTGGTAGGAATGCAAAATTTGAGGCCTCCAACCCAGACTTCCTGAATTAGAAACTCTTGGGGGTGGGACCTACAGTCTTTGATCTGACCAGCCAGCCCGCCAGGTGATTCTGAAGCTTGCTCAAGTCAAGTTGGAGAACCATTGGGTTCCTATGTTTGGTGCCTTCTCCGTTCCCTGTTCTTATATTGGCTCTGGGTGTTAGCTTGGGTTGCTGGGGATCAGAATTCCCCCCCCCCCACTGCCTCCCAGCCCCAGATCTGTAGCATCTGCTGTCCATGCTGCCACTGGGGAGTTGCTCATTTGCTGCCTGTGGTGACTGCTGAATTTTCAGGCTCTGGTTATTTAATTCTTATATTGAGGCTTAACTTTCCAGGTGCTTATTTTGTCTCCTGAACTAGCGTGTAAACTAGAGAGCACGGTTCTTGATTTACCTTTTTTTCCTTGCTTGGCATGGGTTTAGCATAGTGCCTTCTGCATGTGGATGTTCACTAATTACTGGGTGCTCTTTAAGGGGAATAGTTTTATAATTGCTCAGTGCTGCCATATGTATTAAACAGTCAAACAGCATTAATTCTGTGGGCTGTTTCCATCTTTACTCTGACTCTCGCTAATCCTCCTGAGTCATCTCCTTGCCACAGAGAAGAGATGCTGGTTATAGGATAATGTCAGCTAAGCCTCTCCCATCTTCCTGGTGGTGACTCCTGAACAAGAAGAGGTGCAAATTAAACACAGCCTGCGGTGAGGAGGGCGGTAAGGAGGGCGGTAAGGAGGGCGTGTGTGCCTCCCGGCTGGGGGCCGGCCCCTGGGGCCCTTCCTTTTCTCTAGTGGTGGTTTGGGATTCTGTGGTGCAGTTTTAGAGCATCTCTTTAAACCAGCCATAAGCTTTAGGGAGCCCCAAATCAACTGAAAAGCCTGAAATGAAGGCTCCCCAAGGCCCTTTCTTGCTGCCAGCAGAAGTTAGCAGACACTTCACAAGTGGAGGGATTTGGGGCACAGCTAGGCCAGGCCTGACAGGCCAACTTTTCTCCTTCCTTCCTACTCTGGGGCTGTTGTGGTGAAATAGCTTCATAGGACTGAGGAAGCTATTTCACCTAGGATGATAGGGGGAAAGTCTGATTTTCTAAATGTTACCCAGATTACTTTAATGCACATAGTAGAATTTGAGCTGGATTTTCAAGGGAAGACTAATCTTCGGTAGAAAAAACAGAGAGAATGATTCCAAATGGGTCAACAGTGCAGGCAAACCCGTGCAAATGCACCCTGTGCTGGCCACAGGGCAGCAGGCAGGGAGTCGGGTGGGATGGGAGATGATGGTGGAGGGGGCTCAGATGTGAGTCTGGGAAACCTGCTATGCCATGTGGGCAGAAGGGCAGCACTGACACAGTTTTCAGGGGGGAGGGAGACACAGAGCAGTGCTGCAGGGCAAGGCCCCTGGCTTCTCAGCCTGGCTGGATAGGGCAGGACACCCGGGAATGCCGCTTTGGTGCTGCGGTTCACCTCTTTTAAAAAAAAAAATTTTTAAAAAAAAATTATTGTTGGGGATTCATTGAGAGTGCAAAGATTACATTGCAAAGAGAGTGCAAAGGTTACATTGATTGCATTTGTTAGGTAAAGTCTGTGTTATAGTTGTGTCCTGCCCCCCAAAGGTGGGTCACACACTGTGATTTCTTTTTAAAATTTTAAGTTAATATGAGAGTATAGGTCTCATTGTTTGGGTTTGCTAGACAGAGTCCAAAAAAATATGGAACACTTCATGATTTTGAATGTCATCCTTGTGTATGGGCTGGGTTAATCTTCCCTGTGTAGTATTTTAGTGTTGGTGTTGCCGAGCGAGTACTGTCCTTCACCTCTCCATCTTGACACTTAGCTGCATCAGGAGACACCAAGAGTCTGGGAACCCAGATGGCTGGGTTGCTCTGTGTGTGGACTTGAGCGTGATTATCATGTAGTTTGGTGTACAAAGGAAAACCTGACATAGATGCTGATTGTGGACATGGTAGAAAATATAAAATGAGAGAAATGCCAGAAGCCATCTGGACAGTGTAAAAGTGATTCTGATTATAGCCATTTAGGTGAGCTGCTCACCACTCAGGCCTCATGGTCCCAGTCACAGGACCGTAAGCGGGTAAGGGTGTGTCATAAGCTTTATTGTATTTCTGATTGTTCTTCATATGATTTGTCATAGTTTGTTGCTCTTAAAACTTGGTTATCTTAGCTCAGCACCCTAGCACTGGTTACAGTGCTGGCCACATGCACTGAGGCTGGCAGATTTGAACCCAGCCTGGGCCAGCTAAACAACAACAACAACAAAAAATAGCCAGGCGTTGTGGTAGGCACCTGCAGTCCCAGCTACTTGGGAGGCTGAGGCAAGAGACTAACTTCAGCCCAAGAGTTTGAGGTTGCTGTGAGCTGTGATGCCATGGCCCCCTACTGAGGGTGACATAGACTCTGTTTCAAAAAAAAAAAAAAGTATGATAATTACTCAGTTCTCAGGCTCCCACACAGTGCCCCAAATGGGACCTGGATCTCCCCCCAGTCAAGGAAGTCTCAGGAATGAGAAAGAGGCCTCTAGCAAATGTCAAACAGAGAGCAGACTGCTTATCACAGAGAGCTTAATGGGCTCTTTCCACTGCTTAGAAAGAAAGGGAGAGAGAGAAGGGCTGTGGGGAGCTAGGGGACAGGGGAGAGGGAGGTGTGGTGGGGAGGAAGGGAGGAATTTGAACCCTGAAGTAAACCATCTGGCAATAAGCTTGTTCATTTCTTCAGTGAACACAACTTTTTTTATTATTTGGGATTCATTGAGGGTACAAAGAACCAAGTCACACTGATTGTATTTGTCAGGTAAATTCCCTCTTATAATAGTGTCCCACTCCCAAGAGTCATGTCACACTGTGACCCCCCTACTCTCCTACCTCCTTCTCTCTCCCTCCTTTCCCATCCCCCACCCCACCAGGTACTAGGTCATCTATTGCCTTCATATTAGAATTGAGTACATTGGATTCTTGCTTCTCCATTCTTGTGATGCTTTACTAAGAAGAATGTGTTCCACCTCCATCCAGGTGAGTATAAAAGATGTAAAGTCTCCATCTCTTTTAATGGCTGAATAGTATTCCATGGTATACATATACTACAGCTTGGTTTTTTTTTTTTTTTGAGACAGAGCCTCAAGCTGTTGTCTTGGGTAGAATGCCATGGCATCACAGCTCATAGCAACCTCCAACTCCTGGGCTCAAGTGATTCTCTTGCCTCCACCTCCCAAGTAGCTGGGATTACAGGCACCTGCCACAACACCTGGCTATTTTTTGGTTGTTTGGCAACCATCCTTGTTGTTTGGCAGGCCCAGGCTGGATTTGAACCTGCCAGCTCAGGTGTATGAGGCTGGTGCCTTAGCCGCTTGAGACACAGGCATCGGCCTACCACAGCTTGTTAATCCACTCCTGGAGTGGTGGGCATTTAGGTTGTTTCCACAATTTGGCAATTACAAATTGAGCTGTGATAGACAGTCTAGTGCAAATGTCCTTATGATAAAATGATTTTTTTTCCTTCCGGGTAGATGCCCAGTAATGGGATTTAGGATCAAATGGGAGGTCTAGCTTGAGTTCTTTGAGGGTTCTCCATACTTCCTTCCAAAAAAGTTGTATTGGTTTGCAGTCCCACCAGCAGTGTAAAAGTGTTTGCTTCTCTCCACATCCACGCCAGCATCTGCAGTTCTGAGATTTGGTGATGTGGACCATTCTCACTAGAATTAGGCGATATCTCAGGGTAGTTTTGATTTGCATTTCTCTAATAATTAGGGACACTGAGCATTTTTTCATATGTTTGTTAGTGTGGCAAAACTTGCCCTTTTCCCTTTGGTTGGTTTGCTGAAAAGATCAACTCACAGTTGTGGTAGATTAATAAGAGAAAGGTTTATTTCCGAATACCAGGCAGATGGGGGGAATCACAAGAATGATTACCCAAAGTCTCAGTGATGGTCAGAGACTTTTAAAGATGCCTTTTACAAGGAATAAGGCAGAGTGTGGAAAGTATACGTGCAGCAAGTGGTTGCTGGGGGGATGAGTATAGATGGGTGGAAACAGATTGAATTGTAGATTAACCTGAGAGACTGGTCTCAGAGCTTCAAATGACCTGAGGGCCAGGTCTATTAGTAATGCAATAAGGAAGTCAGCAGCCTTTTCTGTTTCTAAATCAGGTTACTCAGGCTTTACAGAGGAGGGGCCATTGCTTTCTGGTTATAAATGGCCTTTTAATTAAAAAATTTCTTTATACCAAGGAATCATATTTTGGGGTGAAATTTCCTTAGCTCCTTCATTCACCATTCGTTTTGTCTTCTTTAGAGAAGGTTCTGTTCATCTCTCTAGCCCAGTGATAGATAGGATTGCTGGCTCTTTTTTTGTTGATTAATTTGGTTTTTTATTTTTATTTTTTGAGACAGAGTCTCACTTTGTCACCCTAGGTGGAGTGCCATGGAGTCATAGCTCACAGCAACCTCAATGTCTTGAGCTAAAGCTATTCTCTTGCCTCAGTCTCCCAAGTAGCTGGACTATAGGCACCTGCCATAACACCCAACTATTTTTAGAGATGAGGTCTTGCCTTTGCTCAGGCTGGTCTTGAACTCCTGAGCTCAGGTAATCCACCTCCCTTGGTAATCCACCTGCCACCACCTCCAAGAGTGTTAGGATTACAGGCGTGAGCCACCATGCCTGGCCTTAATTTGAGTTCTCTGTAGATCCTAGTTACCAAGCTTTTGTCTGATTGTGGTTGTAGTTTAAACTAACTTAAGTCTCCATTCATCTTGATTCCTCTGTCTCCATAACTGCTCCTTGTAAACTCACCATTCCTTGCCTACAGCCACTATTATTTTTTAAAGCCACCCTTTTTCTTTATGTTTTTACCAAATATGTACCCTAGACACTATGTTGTTTGGTCTTGTTTTTGAATTGTTTTGTAAGCGATACCATATTATTTATATTCCGTACCTTTCTGGTTTCTTCAACAGTGCATGATACTCTTCCATGCTAGGGTATGGCCACTATTTATTTTCACCATTTTAGGGCATCTGACGGATGCACATTCCATGATTTATCAGTTCCTTTGTGGATGGACATTTGGGCTGTTTCCAGCGTTTTGCTGTTTCAAATTATTTTGCTGTAAACATTCTTGGGAATCCTCAGCACAGTCTTAGCCCGCTTAGACCAGGAGTTGGGACCATTGTTTATGGTAGGACTGGCTTCTTCATATCCTTCATGAGAGCCAGTCCTGCTGGGTCTTTACCCACAGAACATGACTGGCTGTAGATGGGCACCCCCTCTACCTGTGAGGTTCCCTAACTCCCTGCTGTGGTATTACAAGTTTCACTTGTCCCCAAGGCCTCATCAGAAGACCAAGGATAAGTGGTTTTGGAAGAAGGAAAGAGAAGAATGTTAATTTGCTAACAAATAAGGTTTTCATATTCCTGTCTTAAAGCTCCCATGTACTGACTCTGAGCAGAAATACAGAGCTTTTAAAGGGGAGGTTTTCAGCTTCAGGTTATTGCTTATAGTCGATTCATTCCATTTTCCAGCTAAGATGATCTCAGACTTTTGCCTAGACAATTCCCTTGAGTCATCTCTTGTGATACAAAAGAACAAAAGACACTCTCTTGAGCCGCCCTCCCACTAGCCTAAAGCAGGGATAGAGGTCTTAATTCCCCCAACAGAGGAGGGGAGGTTTTAGAGAGATAGAAAACATTTTACCCTTTCCCCCATTTCAGGCCATTTCCCCTGTTACATTGGGGCTGTGGTGAGGAGAGAAGCTGGGGCTGATGCCCCCTGTATTAGGTTCTTAGGGCTGCAGTAACAAAGTACCACAAATGAGGGGCTTAAAGCAACATGAATTTGTTTTCTCATAGTTCTAGAGGATAGAAGTCTGAAATCTAGGCATCGACCAGGCAGTGCTCTCCCTGAAAGATTTAGAGAATTTCTCTTGCCTATCCTAGCTTCTGGTGGTTGCTAGCAATCGGGGGCATTTCCTGGCTTTTAGGTGCATCACTCCAGTCTCTGCCTCCATCACCACGTGGCGTTCTCCTGCTGTGCCGTCCCTTTGTTCATGTTTGTCTGTATCCAAATTTCCTTTTCTTATGAAGACACCAGTCATATTGGATTAGTGCTCATTCTAATGACCTTACCTTAATTAATCTGTAAAGACTCTATTCCAAATATGGTCACATTTACAGGTACTGGGATTAGGACAAACATATCTTTTGGGAGGCCAAATTTAACCCATAGCACTCTCGTTTTTCTTCCTGTGATACTACTGCTGGTTAAGGAGATGCCTTTCAGACTGACTTGTTTTCCCTGACTTGTTTTCCCTGTCCTGCAGTGACTCACCCCTACTCTAGGAAGCTCTGTCTTCCTTGTTCTTTCTTTCCTTCTGGGCTTCAGCATTGGCCTGAGAGACTCTAGCTTCCATCCTGTCAACTCATGGAGCCTTCACCCTGCACAATGGAGATGGAGTTCCCATCACTGGACCTTTTGCTGCTTCTACATTGGGCTACTGGTCATCTCTGCATTTGCCACACTCTTGCTACCCTGTGGGGAGTGGCTCCTGTGGACATGCTGGTAGCACTTCTGAGGACAGTCTGTAGCACCCTTGTCCACTCTGTTACACCCTGTGAGGACATGTTGACAGCATGTCTCTCCCACCACATGGTTGTGCTAGTAACCCTTTCTCTCCCCAGGGCCAGGGGAGCACCTTACAGTTCCCCAGGAAACGTCCTTGTACATGTGTATATTACACACTCATGCCAGTATTTCTATTTTTTTTTTTTTTTGAGACAGAGTCTCATTTTGTTATCCT